GTTTAAATGTACTGATATATTGCGATTGGCGATCGGTTTCCTGGAAGTCGATTGATGGTTCACTGTGAACTCGTACTTGCTTCTTCTTAGTTTGAAACTCATAGGTTGCTAACGTTACGAAAATCGCGCTAGTAAGTTGCTTCTCTAATTTAATTGGAAAGATATTTGAACTAGTTTATCGATACAAGAACTGAATAGGCATGTTTTGAAGTGGAAACTAGGTGTGTGAGATCACAACCTGAGAGAGGAATGTACTAATGTATTATAGATGCTAAAATCTTTACCAAGGTAGTTTTTGCTACTTGTGAAGTCTTAAATAAACCTAGATTCGGTGTACTCGTCTCTGTTGTCTCCAAGCTCGTGGTCAAATACATTTTGTTAAAGATGCTTCCCTTCTCGATTCTGCTCTACGCCTATCTACTACTCATGATCTACTTTTCCAATAGAACTAGCGAACTTGGATTTGCAGCACGTTCTGTCACATTTTCTCAAAAACCTTTTAAAAACTGGCCAGTTTTGTATTGTCGTACAGTTTGCTTTTTATAAAATTTTCTGTTGTCTCGCCAACATATTTCTTTATGCCCTTGTTTGTTGTTTGAACTTAGCTTACTATCATTGCTGCTATTTCAAGTGTTTTAAGGTCTGTTTATGTGCTCCTAAAGTTGACGTGCAAGTATAATTTCCCACCTTTCGCGATTCTAATAATCACAATAGTTTTCTCATTAAATGATTAAATAAACCATCACGGGCAAGGCAGGAACATGGGAACTGGCTTCCAATTAGAGTGACTACATTCCAAAAATAAAAGTGGCCTTAAGATTCCCTCTTAACCGTTGGCGTGAGAAAATTCCCTGGGAATGTCTACTTGCCCCTGTATGCTTTAACCCACTAGGAACCATTGCAATTTCTGAAGCTCAGTTAAATATTGTATGAAGCTCTTTACCGTGCTTCTGTGATTGCTCGGTTGGTAAGCTGCATGCGTGTGTGATATCCAGAATGTCGAGAGATGAAAATATAGTTATTGGGAATCGGTTTTTAATATCACCTATTGGTTGCATGCTTATTTGGCGTGTCAACAAGCTACTCAGCAGCCAGTACTCAACCCTCCTACGAGACTGTTATGATATTTGTTTCAGTAACTTATTTGTCCTTCTTAATTGCTGTTTGTGCAATCATTTAGCTTGCTTTCCCCGCTAGTGGCATTGGCAGAGATGGGTCCATACTTCTTGATTATGCAGGTTCGTCTTTAAGTCATTTATACATCTGAAAATCATTAAATTTGAAGTAGCATCTGACTTGAGTGATGCTTAGAAGTTTAAAGTTAACTGGCAGTGAGCAGAGGGCAGGTTCTTTGTCTTCCCCTTATCATCATTGGTTTGGTCTAGATAGCTATGAAAGGGAGAAACTTCCTGCTTCAGATTCCTAAATTCTATGTATCCTTCCAATTTTGGCTTGTAGAACTTGACAGTGACAGGGGGGAAGCGTCTACTTTGTTAGGTACGAGGCCAAGATTGGGCAGCTAACTGGAAACTGTCTCTCTCTTCCTTAATCTGATTTCTCTCTTTTTTCAAGGATAACTTCATTTTATTGAAAGTATGAAATGTACATGAGAGGCAAAGGATGCCACAAATTACATAAGACCGTCCCAGTTATCTACGAGAATTTTAAGGCTATTGCCACATAAATGAGGAGAAAATTTACACCAAGAGAAGCCAATATAAATCAACCGAAAACTTTCTCAATTATAAAATCTCCACGGTCCCTATGGAAACCATGGTGCTGGGTAATTCAGTAAGATGCTGTTCACTTGACCAAACCTTATTGTCCAATCTTTTATGGAATATTTCCATGTTTTTGTGATCGCATTTATTGTTGAGAATTATTGGAAATGAGTTCCACATTTTAGTGAAAGATCATGGGTTTAATTCCTTATCTTCATTGGTACGAGACCTTTTAGGGAAGCCTAAAGCAAAGCCACGAGAGCTTATGCTCAAAGTGGACAATATCATATCATTATTGAGATTCGTGATTCCTAACATTTATAGGGAGATAGCTTCTAGAACTATTGATGGGAAATTCATTAGTCAAATATTAAGCTGAATAGATAGCTTCTAGAACTGATGGGAAATTCATTAGTCAAATATTAAGCTGAATTATAAACGCCAGTCATTATACAACAACAACATTAGTAATAATGACAAAGCTAGGCACCGTTGGTCACATGTGGGCGTATATCCCCATTTTCGAACTTTTGTAGTACATACTTTTCAAGTGATCTTCTTTGATCACGGATATCACTCAGATTGTGGGACTCTCTCTCTCTCTCACTCTATTCTCTTTATTCTTTTGGAAAGTTTTTGTTTTGTAATTTGCGCTTGGAGATTCCAGAATAAGTTACATATCTTCTCCCAGTAGAAGAGAAATGGGAATCCCATGATTTGGGTATTTGGCTGTAAATATGGATGCCCGTGTCTAGTTCAAAGTCTGGGCTAAAGTTCTGACTTTTCACAGGAAACAGATTATAAAAACACAGTCAAAAGATCGTGGTCACCAGAAAAGCTCAAGCTGGCATTGACTCGGTTAAGGGAAGAGAAATCGTGCTCATCCTGCACCGTGACTCGCTCCCAAAACGTCCAACTACAGAGGTATTTTTTCTAGAAACATTGAGAAGTAATATATTCTAGAAATATATGCATATATTTTTTTGGAGACTCTATTATGGAAATTTCTTGTTGTACGATAAAAGTCCCACGTCGACTAATTTAGGTAATGATCATAGGTTTATAAACAAAGAATACTATCTCAATTGGAATGAGGCATTTTGGTGAAGCCCAAAGCAAAGCCGAGAGCTTATACTCAAAGTGAACAATATCGTACCATTGTGGAGAGTCGTGTTCGTCTAACCCTCTCATTCATTTTATTATAAGCATTTCCAGAGAAAGTCTGAAAAGCTGCCTATTCCTATTCATTGTTTCAGTTTTCTAACGGCCAAGTGAGGGTTAGGATTATAGGCGCCAAGGAGGCAGTTGAATTACCGATTTTAGTCCATGATTTAGTGTTTTTTTAGTTGAATCTTAAACAGGCCAAAATCCTGATTTGGTAACAAATTTTATGGACTGAAACAATATATCTATAATGGTTTTGTGAAAGGAAAAAAAATAATAAAAGAAATCATCTTAAATGCAGATCATATAACCTCATACTTGTTAAATCATATTTAACTCTATTGCGTGCAGTTTGGCTAGTAATAAGTTCAATTAGAGATCATATTTTTTTTTTAAGGAGTATTCCTTCCCTACTAACAGAAATTATCTTCTTTGTATTTTTTTTTTGAACTTTTTCTTAAAATTTTTAAAACGTATCTGCTAAGAAATTTACCCACATTATAAATAATACTTCGTCATGCTCTCCAACGTGTGATCTCACAGTTTAAATTAGTATATAATCTAAACTTGAACTAAATCTACTCTATATTTATAATCTATCTCATACTAACTTGTAATGTCTAATTATTTTACAAAAAATAAAAAAGATTTTAAAAAAAAATCTATAGTTTCTAAAATTCTCGAAATAGTTGTAGTAAAAAGAAACTAGTGTCAGCATACAAGTTGACGTGACGTAAACCCTAGATTCCTTTAATTTGACTTATTGACCATAGAAACAAATTGAGTGAAGTGAATTGAAAGGAAACGGCACTGATCAAGCAATAGAAATTTCCTAAGAATATGTTTGTTGTTTCTTTTTTCTGCCCAGTTATGATAATATTTTGACTTTTTATTTAATTCCTAAACTTTTAGAAATATGATACTTAAAAGACTCTTAGTGTTTAAAATTCTGTAGACCGTGAGAATATGTGTACATGTATATATAGGAATCACACTCTTTACGATGGTATGATATCGTTCACTTTGAGTATAAGTTCTCTTGTCTTTGCTTTGAGCTTCCCTAGAAGGCTTCAACCAATGAAGATAGTATTCTTCACTTATAAATTTATGATCTTACACGTTGAACTCACTCTTAGGCTTCAACCAGAGGTTCAATTTAATGAAAATTTCAATAGAAATTAGGATATTAAGAATTGAATGTCACGTTTGTAAAATTAATTACAAGTGTTGGATGATGAAAATTCCACGTCAGCTAATTTAAGGAATGATCATAGATTTATAATCAAGGAATACTCTTTTACGAGGCCTTTTGGGAAAGCCCAAAGCAAAACTATGAGAGGTTATGTTCGAAGTGGACAATATCATATCATTGTGGAGAGTAGTGTTCATCTAATAGCACTAGTCGATAAAAATTTTAGAAAAAAAATTATGAAGATAAAGAATATATTTAAGCAAAGTTTGTTGATGCTTTGGCGTTGGGAAATGGTATATGAGCTTCTTTGCCTTCCTTCCACTTTCATCCAAGTCCTGTTCTAACAAACAACGAAAGAAACATGCATCACACTTCACACTACACCAAACCCAACATTACTTACTAATGGGTTTCACACAATGACATCTTGCTTACCAATTCTGCTAACTTCTATAAATTAAAAAATACATGTACATACATTTAATAAAAATGGAAAAAAAAAGTAATTTTCTAAAATAATTTTTAGAATTTGACTATGAATTAAAGTATTTTCTTTAAAAAAAAAAAACGATATATATATGGTAGAAAAAATAGGAAACCAGCTAATTTTTAAAAAAATTAAAAACTAGAAATTAAATGCTTAATATTCGAAGTTAAAATATTTTAAAAGACATTTTAAATTTAAAAAAAAAAAAAAAAAAAATCGATATGATAGAGACCGTTTCTCACTTTATTTTCTTAAAAGGGTGAGCTTCCATTCAATCTACGACTCCTGCAATGAGTCTAGATCAGTGGCACCTACCAGGGCTACTTTTGTCTTTTTACCAACTCTATATTATAAACAAATTTAATTGCGTGCACAGTTTTTTTGGTTTCCATTTTTTTAATATATATATATATATATCAATAAACTAAAATAAAACTGTGCTCTTTCTGTGGCTTTTGATTCTTCCTGAATTGTCGTGCCTGCCAGCTTCACTTGAGCGTGGCCGTAGAGAGTTCAAAATTAGATAACCTTTTTCCATGGGGGAAAAGTGGGTGATTGATTTGAGGCGCTCATATGATTCCTGTTCTGTGCAGAGAGGGAGGACGATGGGTTTAGGGAGTAGAGAGAAGACAATGAATTGGAGGTGGATGGAGATGGTTTCTCTCATCGTTCTTTGCATTCTGGGGTTGAAGCTTCCCACCATTGAAGCTGCCACAGATCCATCAGATGGTTAGCTGCTTCTTCCTTTTCACTTTTGCCCCTTTGTTTCTACTCTTATTTTCTTTGCGTTTCTTCTTTACTTCCACATGATTAGATTCTCGCAATAGCTGTTTATTTTTTGCAGTACATTCTTCTGATGTGAAGATTTTTGTAGTTCTTTGGAAAGAAATTGGTTGTTTTTGACGGTGTAATAGATTTGTGAGACTTTTTAGCGATGTGGATATTTGATTACTGATTGCAATCGTTACTCGCACTGCTCGAGTGTAGAATTTAATGATTTTGTTGTACAGCCTCTGCTTTAAGAGTTTTGTATACCAGCTTGAACTCGCCCCCTCAGTTAACCCAGTGGAATGCTAATGGCGATGATCCATGTGGACAATCATGGAAAGGGATTACTTGCTCTGGCACACGGGTTACAGAAATGTAATTTTGCCAACCCTAATTTATTATGCTGTTCATGTTCCCATTCAATATGATGTCTGCTCTGATGAATGGTTGCATTTTGATTTTGTTAGAAACTTATCTGGCCTCGCTCTCAGTGGATCGATGGGGTACCAACTCGCAAGTTTGACATCGTTAACCAACCTGTAAGGTCAATAACCTTGTTTTGGACTTCAAATGGTTTCTTCTCTGTGTGTTATTGATGTGGTTAATTCTATGATGCTGCAGAGATATGAGCAATAACAATATTGGAGGCAGTATAGTCTACCAACTTCCACCATTCCTGCAGAGACTGTATGATTCATATGCAACTTCTCTTCTGGGACTTTGTTTTTGTTCTTGCTATGTTTTACTTACTAGGAAATAAGCCTAACCCTGTGTTCCGAAGGTCCGAAACTATGTACATAAGATAGAGATTGTGTATGGCCACGAAAGAAAGTTTAAATAATTAAGGACAGAGAGGTTTTTCAACCAAAAGAATACAGAAACAAATTTGTCTGATGAAATGATCTCCCATAAGCTTAAGCTTGTGAATTGTTCGAATGGCTTGTAGCATTTGTGTTTGATGACTACAACTTCTTCTATCTGCAGAAATCTTGCTCAAAACAGCTTCACTGAAGGCATCCCTTATTCCATTTCACAGATGACAACTCTTCGATACCTGTAAGCAGTTTTTCATGGTATGTTTGCTTTACAGGGAATTTAGCTTTTATTGATGCTTTCCCTTATTTGTTGAAATTGTAGAAATCTCAGTCATAATCAGCTTCAGAATCCATTGATTGATATGTTTGGGCAGCTTACTTCACTATCCACATTGTAAGATATCGTCCCCTACTTATTCTATACGGATTATGAGAATCGAACGGCTGCTGAATTGAGCCAACCAAATAATTTTCAGCCGAGACTATTTTAAATACTCTCCATTCAACTCCTGTTTACATGTCTTACATTGACATTTTGTACTTGGTGGGCCAAACAGAGTTTGAAACTTTTCTTTCACCCTGCTAAATTCTATGCCCAATTTATTTAATGACATTTCATCTATAGTTGGACAAATTGAAAATGAGAAATTTACAATAATGCCCATCACGAATTGTCTTCTCACTTGCTGAAAAATATTTTTCGAGACAAAGCATGAAAATGTTTGAATTTATTATAGCCCACCTGGTGACCATCGATTCAAATTTCGTATTTCAATCAGGGATCTGTCTTTCAATGCTATGTCAGGCGAACTGCCTCAGAGTTTTAGCTCGCTTTCGAGCATCAGCACTATGTAAGTCTTCACCGAATTAGTTCCTATGGTACTGACACCTTAATTAGTATTGTTCTTTTTTTCTAATTCCATTGGTTTAACTTTTAGGAATTTGCAAAACAATCAGTTCACTGGCACAATTAATGTCCTTGCAAATCTTCCTCTTGATAACCTGTAAGTTTAAAGCATTTTAAGTTAACATGGAAGAGATGCATCTTTCCCCCCCTCTTATTGAATGTATCGGTTTTTATTTTTTAAGGAACGTTGAAAACAACCGTTTCTCTGGCTGGATCCCTGAGCAACTCAAAAGCATCAATCTTCAGTGAGTATATCTAACATTATCATTGTCTGGTATATATACATATTACTCCATAAGACTTCTATATGATTGATGATTTTATCAGGACAAATGGCAACTCCTGGAACTCAGGTCCTGCACCCCCTCCTCCTCCTGGTACACCTCCAGCAACTAGAAGGAACCGAAGTCACGATTCTGGTGGCAATAGTCCATCAAATGGTGGTTCTGGTAAAGGTCAGAAATCAGGAATTAGTGGTGGTGCCATTGCAGGAATTATCATCTCTGTGCTCGTTGTTGGAGCTGTAGTAGCATTCTTCATTGTTAGGAAGAGATCCAAGAGATCATCATCTGCAGACATTGAAAAGCTCGACAATCAACCCTCGCAACCTCGTCAAATGACTCCAGCACAAGGTCATCTTATACACTATTTTTCATATTCTCATCTCAGAATTTGATGTTATTTGTTGCCTGTTTTCGTATGATCGTGTAAAGTTGGGATTTTATGCATTAAGACGTACGTTTAACATTAACCAATCCTTTGAAACATTGAAATGCAGAAATAAAGTCCGAAGAAACTTCCTCCACATTTTATCCAACAACATTTGATACTTCTGCTGCAATTAATCTCAAACCCCCTCCTAGTGATCGTCATAAATCACTTGATGAAGACGACTTTGCTAAAAGAGCTGTTGTCAAGAAGGCTAGTGCAGCTCCTATTAATGTAAAGTCATATTCAATAGCAGACCTGCAATTGGCTACTGGCAGCTTCAATTTTGAAAATCTTCTTGGTGAGGGATCGTTTGGACGTGTTTATCGGGCTGAGTTTGATGACGGGAAGGTTACTTCCTAACTCAATTCTTCATATCAGACTAAGTAGAGAAAAATATAATATCTACTCATCCTATTAGTTTTCGTAATTTTTTGCAATGCAGATTCTTGCCGTGAAAAAAATCAATTCGGCTGTACTACCTGGGGACTTATCTGAAGATTTCACCGACATTGTTTCGAAAGTCTCCGAGTTACACCATCCCAATATAACCGAGCTCGTGGGTTATTGCTCAGAGCATGGGCAGCATTTGCTTGTGTATGAGTTCCATAAAAATGGCTCGCTTTATGATTTCTTGCATCATTCAGACGAATACAACCAGCCACTGATATGGAATAGTCGTGTTAAGATTGCTTTGGGAACAGCCCGTGCACTAGAGTACGTTGACTCCGAGCCTTGTTAAATTGACTCTTGAATTATACTAGGTTGCCAATTTTATCCTTTTAATTTGATTTCTATTTACTAAGCAAGTTCTAGATTCCGGATGAGTTATTCCGTTCGAGCATGGACCTCTGAAGTATAGGTCTAGTGGGAAAATAGTTGACGATGTTTCTCATTTGTTCGATAGAATGACGGTACTTATCGAGATACTTTTCAGGTATCTTCATGAAGTTTGCTCCCCATCAATTGTTCATAGAAACATCAAGTCTGCTAACATACTGCTGGATGCGGAACTCAGCCCCCACCTCTCTGATTCTGGACTGGAAAGCTTTGTACCAAATGCAGATCAGGTCAATTCTTGAACTTGATGAATCTTTCTTTTAGATACTGTATAGTGATCAACTCATATCTTATAACGTGCAGGCACTGGATCACAATGCAAGTTCAGGATACACTGCCCCCGAGGTCACGATGTCTGGCCTTTATACGCTGAAAAGCGATGTCTACAGCTTTGGAGTAGTCATGTTGGAACTGTTGACTGGGCGCAAACCATTCGACAGGTGAATTTGTAATGCACTTCAAAAAATATGTTTGGTCTTGGGAGTTAGTCAACTTGCCATTTGTCTTCCTTCATCTTCTTATCATACTTCCGTTTCGATTTTGTTGTCATTCAGTTCAAGACCAAGGACCGAGCAATCCTTGGTTCGATGGGCTACACCCCAGCTTCATGACATTGATGCGTTGACCAAGATGGTCGATCCAGAACTCCAAGGACTATATCCAGTTAAATCACTCTCCCGATTTGCAGATGTGATTGCACTTTGCGTCCAGGTATATAACATATTCCTGTGATAAAGACTTGGTTTCGTTTCAAATAATAACTCGTACTAATCTTGTGTTAAAGTTCTGGATGATTAAAGTGACCCTTTGTCCATCTTACGACAGACCGAACCAGAGTTCAGACCTCCAATGTCGGAAGTGGTCGAAGCATTGGTTCGACTTGTCCAGCGAGCTAACATGAGTAAGAGAACATATGGAAATGATAATGCAGCAGCGTCTCCCAGAGGAGGGGACATGGGTGGGGATGATACACCATAAACAACACTTCTTTATACAGAAAAAGTTGGGAGATGGTATTAGGAGGGGTGTGGGGGGGTAAAACAGGAATTGCAAATGGCGATAATAATGTTTATCTGTTAATATTACAAAGAGAAGGATGATGATGTTAGGTATAGAATTTTGATAGAAAATAGGATTAGAAATTGGTGGAGATTTATTCAGTTTGTTGTACACTTTGCTGTTAACTTCAATTATTTTGTCTCCTATTTATTATTTTGTCTCCTATTTATTATTGTTGACAAAGTTGTTCCTCTTACAATTTCTCAGCGTTTTGTTTATAAAATTTCAACGTTTAAATGAATTCCATTGAAAACACTTTTCAATAAAATGATGGAAACCACCAAACACATACTTTTTCTATTAAAAAAAAAAAAAAAAAAAAAAAAAAACCAATTTTAATTATTTTATGAAATACTACAAACCATTTTCTAACCCTTCATTTGAAATTCCTATTCTACTATTCTTAGCATAAATGGATTCCTATTCTATTATTCTTAGCATAAATGGAATCAAATAGACTAATTTGGGTGTTTCCTATTCTATTATTCTTAGCATAAATGTAATTAAATAGGGGACTAATTTGGGTGTTCGCTGGAGTTCTTTTTAAATTTACAAAATTAGAAAGATGGTGAATATCGCAAAAATGTAAACAGGAAACTAACAAAGCAAAGCTTCTTTTTCTCATCAACTAAAATAGGAAAGGATGATGATTAACATAAAAATAGCTAATTGGAAAATTAGTTAATGGAATTAGGATGGAACACTTATTTGATTTTCTATATTTCAATAAACAAAAGGCATTGATTTTTGGTTTTGAAATTGAACACCATTCTTTTGGTTAAAGTTATAAAAAAAAGGGGAACACGGGAAATTTGGGGAAATGGAAAAGCAGAAGATGAGTTTGAAGTAAAAGAAAGTATAGAAAGGAAAGTTAAAGAAAATAGAAAGCTACTTTTGAAAAATACGAATATAATAGAGAATAGATGATGTTCGAGTAAACATGAAACATTTGTGATTGAGAGGGTACAAAAAAAATGTATTTTTAGAAATCAATCGGGGCAACTTCTATTTTTCAAGAAACCAAAAAAGTATAAAAACAGAAAACAAAATTGTTGAATCATTTAGAATATGTAGTGTGTGGTGAGAGGTAAAATGAGTGAAAGAAAAGGGAGGTCGGGGGACAAGCAGGCTTAATAGTAACCTCAACATTTGTTTTCCCTAAAATATAAATGTTAGATCAAAATAGTCTGTTTAACATTTCAAATCAGATGAACAATAATAAGATATGGCGCAAAGATGAGAGCTAAGATTAACCAAAAAAGAAAAAAGCTACTAACCAGTGTGGGATCTGGTGCCAACCACATTTGATTTGCATAAAGAAGAGAACACGAACTTGTGTTGTTCGTTCGTTCGTTTGTTCGAATTTCTTACTAAGACGGATCCGATTCTTTGTTCTTGGGGATGGATAAGATGACACTAGCCCCAACACATTAAAGGCCACCGAACTGGGAATCAGGCTGTGCACTTCCTCCCTCCCCTCCTTTTATAATGGAAGAACAATGTAAATTCTAAGACGCATAACATACCACCACTAGTCCAAGCATATGTTGGCTCAAGCTTATTTCATCTTTCGTGATTTTCTTCCATAAATCAATCTCTCATCCCATGAATATCAATCAAAGACCATCTCCTTTGTTTGAATGTTGCACCTTCTTTTCCCCCACCTGAAAATGGATGGGGTCTCGCTCATCACATTTTATCCTTGTACTTCAAAACATTATTCATGTTTAAATCAAAGATCTTGCAGATATCTTTAATTGTAGTAGTTATATCATCAGATCCCTCCATCTGGCTCAGAAATTTGTCGAGTTCCTTTGATGGCTGCAGATCCTAGACACCATTAACATAATCCAAGTAAGAGCGACCGCAGTTTTATGCTATGCATAGTCTATTAAAAGCAGAAATACAAGGATTGAACTGAAAAGAAAAATAGACATCGACCAATATTTAAACATGGGGCGACACGCAAATGAGGGAAAGAGTATCTAACTCCACTCAGAGTAATAGTCAATCTTTTCCTTCATAAAGTTACAGCTCGGGATAACAAAGATGCAAAATGAGTTATCCATTTCATTACCGAAGCACTATCTATGCAGTAGGCACACCACTGATCGGTAAAAAGATATGTTATATGGAAAATCATCGGGTTACCAAAAATATCTTTTTCCAATTCCAATCAAGAATATAGGTGTAGATCTACTAGTACCTGAAAACATAAAAATACTTTATACTTACCAAGGTTGAACCTGGATGTTGTTGGACTGTGTTCACAGTTTTGTTACCATCAGTGGATGAGTTGCACGAATACGATCTATCAGAGACCAACTGAAGAAGTATTTCACTTCCCTAAAAGCGTGTATATTTGCATACATTTAGAAGGAAAAAAAAAAGGTGCAGAAACATTAGATACATGTAAAACTCTTATATAACTAATTATAAAACCCCAGGGTCAAGTAACAACTACTAAAAAAATGATGTCCAAAAGCCACTGACAAAATCCAGTATAGAAGTACCTTTAGGGCTCGCCAATGAGAATATGTGCGAAACAAAACCCAAAAGAATGGAATATTTGGCAGAGGCAAAATCTACGTAAGACAAACCAGGATAGAAGTCAAGAGAAGACATATAAATGTACTTATTAAGTAAAAAGGAACTTGAAATGTTGCAGTACATGTTGTGTCAAAAGCATAACATCAACATGGTACAAACAATGCAAGAAAAAAGTAAGGCTGATATTAAAAAATAGACACAAACATACAGTGAATGCACTTGCTAATGGAAGCAACGAAACTGAACCATAGAAGTGTTTCTTGTGGATGGCAGTTCCCCTGGTCATGAGATACAGAAAGTTCACATCAATAAGAGGCATAGTTCAAACTTTTGCAACAAGAAAAGCTTCCTGGAAACAAAAAGGACTTGAGATGATATAAGCTTTCTATCATGGAACCACAGAGTAGTAGTATTGGACGCTGAGCTGATAAGGTCCTATTAGGACTGTGATTCACGACTTGAAAGAATAATAATAATGGATTCTAAGTGTAATGTTGAATATTGCTTCAAAGAAAAAAGAATAAAATGAGAGAATTGCTAGTTAGCTTCAATTCGGCAGATGGAAAAGGGAAAATGCACCTGAGGGCGATATGCCTTAACCTCCTGCGAACGAGCCGTGGATTCAAACTGTAATGTCGGAAATCAGTGAAATAGCATAACAAATTGTAATATGGTAAGGGAAAAAAAAAAGCCCTACTAGGTTTGGATTCAAGTAGCCAAAGAAGAAGAAGCAGGCGGAAGCGCGAAATTGTTATATCGACGATTTTAAAAATAACAAAGCGAAAGAGATGAAACCTGGATGGATATGCTATTTCAACGCTCGTAACATCTTTAGTTATTGACTTCAAGAATATCTCAGACGGCTTAACTCGAGATAAGAGCTTCAATCCGATCCTACAGGAAGAAAATCAAGAGCGTATTAGTTAATTTCACTAGAAATGTGCCATAAACGAATAAAATCGCATTGGCGAGACTTCACCCGTGAAGTTTATTCTTAAACGAGCCATCAGGAGCCTTCTCCAGAGCAGTCCAAGCTTTATTCATCTGATAAACGGAACGTCATTGTCAACGCCATGTTCGACAGGATCAAAACAAATACCAGAAGAAAAAAAACAAAACAAGACGAAACTGAAAAGAGCATGAAGGACCTTGAAAGAGATAAAATCGGTAACGATTTCCGCATTGCTACTACTGGTACTGCTGGAGAGAGCGTCGGATTTGGAGGAAGAAGGCGAGGATATTTTGGTCCAGAGATCTTTCAAAGTGGAAGGAGTCTGAGTAGAAGCAGAATCCGAGGCGGCAGGGTCGACGGATCTGCTGAAACACCAATTTCTTCCTCTGATTGGAAACACCACCAATCTGGCTCTCATCGTCACAAAATTCCAATGGAGAAAATGCTTGGTTCGCACACGAATTCCCTCTCTCACATAAACCCTAATCCCTGAGTAAATCCGAAAGAAACCTGATTACTCTGATCCGAATGAGGAAACCATCGAGAGAACTGAACGAAATGAAAGTTGAACGTGCTGTTGCGAGAATTGCAAAAACGCAGATGATGAAAAATTCGGCCGGATCAGTTTTATTATTATAAATCAAATGTTGAATTCCTAATTTGCCCTTATATTTTCATCCTCTTTCCACTTTTACCCTCCAAAAATTTCAATTTTTTGTTTCTAGGGGAGTGGAAAGTTAATAAGTTGACGTGGCAAGTGGTGAGTTTGGGTTGAATTTTGAATTTTGAAATCGGAATTTAGAAAGTCAACCATCTTTAAGCTAACCTAGCCTCCTCTGTCCCTCGAGACCAATAAGGGGTAGTACAGGAATATTCGCCTATTGTCCATCGACTACGCCTTTCGGCTAGATCTTAGGCCCTGACTCCCCCTTCGTAGACGAACCTTACAGAGGAACCCTTAAGTTTTCGGGGCATTGGATTCTCACCAATGTTTGCGTTACTTAAGCTGACATTCTCGCTTCCGCTTCGTCCACCACTGCTCGCGTGGGTGCTTCCCTCTAAGGCGGAATGCTCCCCTACTGATGTATTTTTACATCCCACAGCTTCAGCAGATCGCTTAGCCTCGTTCAGTACTTAGGGTGCTGAGCTGCATTAAGTTATGAAGTCGAAGTCTAACAAATCAGTATTTTTGGTGCTCAGTATCATAGTTATGCTTGTTAAAGGCGTGTTGCCTGTGGACGCATGTCAAATGTCTTGGTCATGCTTATACAAAACGTGTTGTCCGTAGCTGCATGCTCATTCCAAACCCCCTTTCAGTAATTTTCATGTTAGATACGGATTTACGTTGTGTCAACACCGAGGTGTATGATTGGTGACTAAAATCATGTCTACATGGCTAAAATGCCTTAGTAATATGAATCCAATCACTCATCAATTGCATATAACTGAAGGAGGCAAGGAAGATTTAAGTATCAAATCAAAAAAAGAATAGAATGATAATAAATACCATTTGAAGATTTTTTTGTTATTATTTATGTCTCTATTCTTTTCTTCCATTTTTATTTAATAACTTTTATCCGTAGTTTAAGCATGTTTTATTGTTATATATATATATATATATATATAAATATATCCCTTTCATTTTACCGAGCAATTTTTTTTCTTTATCGATCTTTTGGATTATTATTATTATTAGTATTATTATTATTATTGGCCTATTTAAAGGTAAGTAATATTCAAGTTTGGAAAATAGTGAAATACAAAAACCTTCTGCTTTCTTACCTATGGTGTTACCTTTCTTGTCAAACCTTACTTTTAAGTTTGAAGTAAAGTTGATTTATTGGATTAATCTTGATCAAGCTAATCTTAGAGTCAGTCATCTTGAGATCTAAGTGTGACCATCATAGATTCCAAGTTCGATCAAAGAGTGAAAGTTTACAATAATACCAGAAGGACCTCTAGCTTTGCAAAATCAGCAATGATTGGCACTTATCATTTGATATAAGAGAATTTGGTCGGCATTCTTTAGCGGGCTCCCGTCCTTATATTATTTGCATACGTACATTATCAATCAATATCATTACAACCATTTAAAAAAATGTTAAAAAATTATATTGGGCTTTTCAAAAGCCCATGAACTAAAAAATAATCCCGGCCCATATGTAAAACTTGTAGGTCCACGAGAGCCCAAATTAATGGACCGGCAAGACCCAAGTGATCCAACTTTGGGCCTACATCAGCCCAGCCCAAAACGAAACCCGAGCCCAAGAAGACTGTGTTGTAGTTGATGGGACCTCCTACGTGGGACATGGGCATTAAATGGGCTTACCAAACGATTCAGGCTTCTTGGACAGGCAGTTGGGCCCAAACCTTTTAAGGGCCTTAAGCGGCCCACTTGTGGTTTGGTAAACAGACAAACAACTCCCATGGCATAGCCACTTAATAAAAATAAATAAATTGAAATTCCATTATTATTTTTAAATATTTTTAATTAAATAAATAATTATATATATAAGTAATGATTTTTCAAGCAATTTAATTTACCTAAGGCTATAAATAGAATTGAAGTCATAGGGTCATAATTGAGGTGAGTGGGTGGAGTAGGAGAATAAATTAAGTTTTAAAATTTTTATTTTTTTTTAATTAATACCTAAAATAATTTAATAAGAATAATGAACGTCCGTCCACAGTAGTACGATATTGTCAACTGTCAGCATAAATTCTCATGGTTTTGCTTTTGATTTATCATTATGAACGGGATCAGAATAGGTTCAGGTGGTAATGATAGTATCTTGTACTTGAACTGGTGGCTCACAGAGGACCTCGTTTAAAAAATACATCATCTGGGTTTTTTTACGATCTGGGTGTTGACGAATCTCTCGATTTCACAATTTTATTGCTTGAACATTACCCATGTGGGACTTTAACGACCTCAAAGTGAGAATTTAATTTAATTTTTTTTATCAATAAATTCTATAAATAAATAAAATTGGTTCCCATAGGAATGATGAAAGGAGATAAATTTGTAATAATGATTAAAATAAAACAAAGAGAAAAAGATTGCTTCCTTAAAACGGAGACAACATAATATATATATAAAATTCAAAATAAACAGCATTATTTAATCATTAAATTTTAATAATGATTAATTATGAATGAACATAGACAGGATCTCTTTATAAGATATGTGATTTTATTACATATTAAGATTAAAGTGGTTTTACTGAATTAATTTGCAAAAATTCAAAATTATCCATTTTAAATAAATTTTTAATAAATACCCAATAAAAAAATTAAAAAAATGAAAACACAACGGTTTGAAATTTGAATATAGGTGTGGAAATTAGGAAATAAAAAAAGGTTTTTTTAAATAAAAAATAATAATTTAAAAAAATTTAGGTGAAGGGGGTTGGTTCCATGTGAGCGTGCTGGGTGAATGGGCCCACACAAATTAATGGTTTTTTTTTTATAATTATTTTTTATTTAAAAAAAAGTTTTTGTCTTAGTTTTACCATACAAAGTCTACGCAATAATTACCTTGAAGCAACCTACTTCCCTTTTTACTTATTTATTTATTTTGATAAACAAATAAAAAATAAAAATACATATTTTCTCTCGTTTTTTCTTATTTTTGTCGTGTATTTAACTTAACGATCAACAATGATGTTCCTTGTGCAAGAATGTTGATTTGTATAGTGATTGAACACGAAATTTCTATATTGAATAGAGATGTATTTTTCATTGTTTAATTACCTTATTATCTCCTTCAAGGTTGGATGCTCGATCGTAATGACCACATTTGTTCGATACATTCATTTTGAAAAGTATTAATTCAGTGTGCAAACTTATAATTATATTAATTAGATTTTTGAACTTTCATAAAAGAATTATCTAGACACTCAATTTTAAAAAAAATATCTATGTATCAATTCTGACATGGGTAGACTCGTTAAAAAAAAAAACTATTTATTTAAAAATTGTTGATGCATTTTGAAACAAAATTATTAAGTTTGAACATGTGAAGAATAAAGTTATAAAATTGGACCTAAAATTATTAATTTAGCATTTTAAAATTGTCTTTCAAGGTTAAAGAAATGTTGTTAATACTATGCTTAAAAATAGCATTAAGAGAGTTAATGGTATTAAAATAGTATTTTTGAAAGTTCAAAGGAAACAAATAATTAATTCTTTTTCGAGTAAAATAGTATTTTTTTTTTTTTTTTAAGTTTAAAGTTAATTTTGAAACAAATTATTAATTATTTCCCTCCCAAAACTAAGTGGATGAATATTTTTTTAGATTTTTTTTATTTATTTTACCATTTAATGATTATATTAGAATTTTTAGAAGTTGAAAATATAAAGTTTAACTCCCAAAATCTAAAATAAGAAAACAAACAATAGACAGACAACAAGCCATGTATAGAGAGATGCTTTATCAATCTGAATAAAGAAGGCATAAAAGAGATTCCTAGGTTAGACGAGTACCCGCCTCACATCCTAACGCTGCTTCTTCTTGGGCCCCGAACGCCAAGGATAACATTATACATATACACGTAACGTATGTATTTGCTTATGAAATATATTGATTTATTTATTATATTAAAAAATGAAAACTTCAAAAGAATAACAAACGAAAAATTACCTATGAAAAACCCGATCCCTGCAAAAATCAATAAAAATAGGTGACAAAAAAAGCTTCTCCGTCCCCGTCCCCGGGCATCTTTAGTCATGTATCCTGCAATATCTTTTAGAATATTAGAAATATAAATGTATAAATCCTTTATTAATTGGGTCCAAAAAGCAGGCAAAAAAGAAGGACCCAGTCCAAGGGGCAATTCCACGGAGAAACCGAAGACGACGTGATGGCTTTAGGCTGAGACTTTGGTTCGTTCAACCGTCCTCCTACTTAACAAACTTCCATTTTTCTTCCACTTTCTCAGCACAAAAAAGTCCACCACTCCCTCCCCACAAGTCTTCGTTCAACCCGATTTCCCTTCTTTAAAGCTCTCATTTCTTCCCATTCTCATATTTCATTCCCCATTTTCACTGAATCTTCGAGTTCTGCTGCCAGATTTTGCCAATGGAAGAACATGCATCGGGGATCAGTAAGTCATTCGAGGGCTCTCTTACCATGGAGCTAATGGGGAAGATCATGGCGGCGGCCATTTTCATCCTCTTTTTGGTGATTGTGTTTGTTTTGATTTTACAGCTTTACTCCAGATGGTTATTGTCCCGCATTCATGAATCGTCGTCGGATTCTGCCGTTCTGCGTCGGTCTGATCAGGAGTCTGATGTAGCTACATTAACGAAAGGGCTGGATGCCGCTGTGCTCCGGTTGATTCCGGTAGTGGTGTTCTCGCCGGAGGATTTCAAAGAAGGGTTGGAATGTGCTGTGTGTTTGTCGGAGTTGGCTCAGGGTGAGAAAGTTCGGTTGCTTCCAAGGTGCAGCCATGGCTTCCATGTTGATTGTATTGACATGTGGTTCAAATCCAATTCCACTTGCCCTCTCTGCAGAGATCCAGTGGCTCCCAAACCCTCAATCCCCACGGAGATGAACTCTGCAGAGGATTTGGAATCTGGGTCTTCAATGGAGTCTCCTATTTTTCCAACGAACATTCTGTTTTGGGGGAATCAAATGCAGATAAGTTCAAGAGGGGTTTGTTTGGAAGAAGCTCAAACTTCTTCTTCCTCTTCCTCTTCTTCTTCATCATCTAACATAAGGGCAGATGGAATGGTGGTTATAGACATTCCAAACGAGCCCTCTTCATCGTCCTCCGGCACCAGCGGCCGTTCCGCCGGTGAAGAGATGAAATCAGTGGTGACATCCAGATTGAAAACGTTGAAAAGGCTTCTGAGCAGAGAGAGAAGAATCGGCAACAATCTCACTTCCCTGAATCTTGAACAAGCAGGGAGAGCGCAGAGTTAAAAAGAAGAAGAAGAACAAGAATCAATGGCTTTGTTTCTCAAATCTTTTGCACATATAAAAGTTAGAAGAGTCAAGGGTAAGAGCTTACATATCATTCTTTGTTCCAAGCCAGAGACTGTGACCTCCATAGTCCGGCTGTTGCCATTGAAAAACCTGTGCACAATTATTTGGATGATATTCAATATGCAAATTTAGGGGTTTTGTTCATCTTCTCATGCAAGAGATTGGGTTCTAGTGGATGAGGTTCATCCTTCTTTGTTCTGTGTAAAATGTATCATCAAGGGATGAATCAAATATTATTAACTTAATTGATATTAAAGTTCGCCACCTAGTTTGAACACAATGGTTTACTATGAAAATTCAAAATAGATAGTCTTTAGCTGCCAGGATTGAATTATTCCTCCAACGCTCAAATACCAGAATACAACAGAGGAAATATAAAATATTCAAATGTCAAAGTTAATCCAACTTGAATTAATAATATCGAAATTAACTAACCCGGATTAATCGTCGTACAGGGAGACAGAGACAAGAGAGACAAAAGTGAATCTAAAAATAAAAGCAACAATGAATTGCGTCACCATTATCAAATTCAGTTGTAGAACAGAAATGCAGAATTAACCAACCTTGACTTTATAGTAAATTTCCTTTTCTACACGAAGTTGACAAAGACTATAGTTTCATCATAAAAATACAAGACTTTTGAATACATTTGAAGACCACATATGAGGCATCAAACTTACAAATGCATCAGGAGACATGAATCTAAAAAGACGAAACAGTTGCATAATTAATGAAGAAATACGGAATTGAAAACAAAATTAACAGAGGAAGACAAGATTTTACTTGATTCAGAATGAGTTGTGGCCATCTCTTGTTGCACTTAACAGACAGCAAAATCTTGGACAGTGAATTTAGGTGTGGTTGGCAGAAAGATACAAGAGATATCCGACAGGAAGAACCATATTTTCCAGGAGAAAGCTTTGATTACTGACCTCTCATAATTCTCTAATATTGGCCTGGTCACTTCCAAGATCTTGTGTGGTATATGCTGCATCAGAATATCTTCTCCCACCCCACCAAAAAAAGAAAGGAAATTTCCTCTATATTGCTTGAAAGCCTATGCCACAACTCCAAAAACTGTATCTAAAAATAGACAATCCACATCATCATCAAGTTCCCACTTTCCTGGTGAAAACTCCTAAGCTACAATTTACTGCACTTCCTACAGCTTATTTTTTAAGACTTTTTTTGCCAGTCAATGCTTTTGCGACTGCTGCAGTGTACAAGGATTGGTTTGGGATCGTAGCTACACTTTCCGTTTCCTTTTGCCTGCCTCAGCATTCTCAGACTGATCGTTATTCCGTTTCCGTTTGGAACTTTTCTTTCTCCCATCAAAAATATTATTATCTGTGGAAGGTCTGGAATATGTTTTACCACCCTGCTTGCCCTTTTCTGACTTGCCCTTGAAGCCAGACATTGATAGAAAAGGGATGTCAGAAGTTGGGTGATGCCCAATCTCTTGCATAATTGTCTTCACATCCTTTGGGCGTGATGTATGCTTCGAACTATCGGCAAGGAACTCAGTCTTCAGTGATTTGGATCTTCCAGACCCGAATGTATCATGAAATTCTTTGTAAGCTGATTCCCTTGATGCTTGTTTTGACCTCCATTGGTCAGGTCGGGATGCATACCTAACATGAAGCAAAATTAGTAAAAAGAAAAATCAATAAAATCCAAATGAAACATGCAACCCCAACTCAAATGACGAAGGAAACAGATCGAGATCATATCCATAAAATAAAAGGCATTAATTGTATACCCTTCAACATCCAACTTCCTCAAGAGATGAGTTCCTTGCTTGGTTTTGGAGAGATCGCTTTGTAAAGCTGCCAACTCAGAAACAATGGCCTCCCGTAGAGACAAGTTACTGGAATTATAGCACTTTTCAACTGTAAAGGAACTTGATGACTGCATTGCAAGCTCTCCAAAATGTCCTCGTAGCCTTTCAGTTGAGAATAGAAAAGCTATCATTGATTGGGTGCAAAACTAATAAAAAAATACCTAACAAATTGATTGAAAGCTTCATTGATTATTCCCGACCAACAAGACTATCATACACAATCTATGTAATTAGAAATTTAAAGATCATGCATCAGAATTCAAATAGATGTCCCGCCTGGAGCACTTAGTTCAAAAGGGAGACAAAAATAATAGAAAGCATGATGGAGAAAGGAAACTTTCTGTACGTTAAAAGCCATCAAAATAGTTCGAGGACATACTTCATAACTAATCTGCGCTTCAGTTTTGCAGGGGCGTCAGAATTTAAAAAAGCTTCAATAACACGAGCTCCACTGGAGTCTTTTGCTACTTCAAGAAGATGATTGGATTCCATTGATGTGATACTTGTAATGAAAAGTTGAATCAGTTCCTGAAACATAGAAATGCTAGGTCCTTCAGATTTGAGAATAAATCAAACCTCAAAAAGTGTTATCCAAGCAAATAGTTCAAGAAAGTTCATGAAATCTAAGCAGGAACTCTAATGCAATTCACGTTGTTTCACAGTCGATTAGCAGTACTGGTTCCACAATAGACACTACAAAGTAAATAGGTGGGTCCCATCCTGCAAACAAGAACCTTTGATCGAGATTGTAGAAACTATAGAGTAACAATATAAGGGTAAATTTTTTCCACATCATCAGACAAAATTGAATGTAAACTATACAACCGTCGAAATTTGAGATAATTGTACTAGGATGCTATAGCCAGGTAATTAATCTTACATGAAAAATGTTCCTTCCCCAAGTTTTGGATAAGGAACCACAAAATTGCATAAATGGTATAGAATTTCATTAAACAATACAGAATCACAAAGAACAAAGTACATAAAATCAATAATAGTAGCAACACTAACACAAATAAGCATAGACTTCCATATCTGGGAGGAAAAAAGAGCATAAACTTTAATGTGAATGTTTAGTTTGCCCTTCCAAAATCAAATAAACAGCAATATCTGGGAGGGAAAAAAAGCATACACTTCGATAACGAAAAACTGTCTGCAGGATTAGAGAGCCCATGACATGTATTTTAACTCCACTAGGAAAATCCCATTTGGCTTTATCTCCACATGAGAAATATCTGTCAACATACAATATTCGAGGAATAATGCATCCTGGAGATTCATCAGTTGAACATACAGCACGAACAAGAGCTTCACAACACTGTCAAATATCATCAATTCATAATTAGAAAAGTAGACAACATATCAAATAGGATCACATCAACATTCAAATACATGTTTATAACAAGTCAAAATTTTGAAGCATAAAAAAAACTAAATAATAGACCTTCTGCTCATGTGTTTGAAGCCTCTGACTTGCAGCAATTAGAGAAGCGACAACTCCTGACCTTCCCATATCAAGAAGATCTCCAACTTTTGTTCCAATTTCTGACCATAGCAACTCCATCTAGGTGAAAAAAAAAAATATGAGCATGGAAAAGCAACTCCTTCGGAAGTACTGACACAACAAATTCCTAGTCTACGTATTGCAATAGTAGAAAACTGTTGAAGATGCATTGCGTGCCACATATTTGCATGTGTACCCTAGTGTGTGAGAATGACTAGGAGAGGAAGGATGTAAATAAGATGTCATTGCAATTTCATTAAGTAAAAAAACGTTATTACTTTTTTTTTTAGTTTAACAAAAAAAAATGCAAATACATACTTGATGTTTATATTTTATGTTAGAAATTAGTGCTTGGACAGCAAAGTTTCCACAGGGATGAGATGACAACTCGAGCAATGAATTCTTGAAAACTATTGTGAAGAGTTCATTGAATATGTTTTCTGGAGCCACTTCCAAAATCACCTGCAAATTCACGCTACCAGAATCAGTACATCAAATCCTAAGAAAATATTATTCTTTTTCCTGAGATTGGAGTACAGGAAAAAAATACTGTTGATGAAAACCATCTCATATATGCACCAGAAATGCAAATTAACCAAAAGCTGAAAACTGCATTATGAAATAAATAAACTTGAACAAAATAGATTGGACTTGGTAATTTGGTCCCAAATTTTCATTTGTTTGATTCCCACTAGAGACAACAAAGACTCTTCTTTACTTCACAATTGGAATTCATTCTTGAGATTCACCATTGGTGGTCATTTCATTTATTAATGATACTCTGTTTCTCTAAAAAACGCATAAAAAAAACAACGAAGTTGTCTGCACTGAAATATGGGTAATACACAAAAGATCCATTATGGGAGGCATGTAAAACCTGACTGCTGAATTTTAAAAGGTCAAATATTATCCCACCAGTACAAATTTTACAAGTACAAAGAAAATATCAGACTATTAGGTACCGGACAAATATGATCAAGCAAACAAATTGAAAAGCTATAAGTACTTGAATACATGTATAGCAAGCTAGTTTACTCCCATAAATTCAAAAGCAACTCCAACTAGGATTGTACATCTCACCTCCATTAAATGACTAAAGGCGGTCTCTTTCATCAAATTTATAACATCTCGAACAACAGATATTTGTATATAATTTCCTTCAACAGAATCTTTCTCGCTACAGCCAAGGAGGATGGGAATTATATGACTGAGCTCATCGTCTTGCCCCACCAATGACTTCAGAATAGTCTGAAAGGTAGTGAAAAATCAATTACTTCAGCATAATTAACGGGAAAGCTGAAAAACAGACAAGGTAAGAAGCCAGTTAAAGCATTCATTGATAAACTTAAAAGTTTGAAGGTGCTAAAAAAGTGCAGATCCATTAAAGATAAATGGTCGGCATCACTTCATTCAAAGAATCCACCATTTACCTCAGTCACAACTCCATTTAAATTTTTTAGTTTATTACTACATATAAAAGAAACAAAACTTTGTTCAAAAACAACAAAAGAATACAAATGAAATGCATCTATATCTGAAAAATAGTCAAAAGACAATGCTAAAGGAGAAGCTCCAAACCCAAATTGACAACAAAAGGTCTCACTTATAAACCTTTAGAGAAAAAGAGAGAGAGATAGATCTCCTAAACAAGCAGAAGGCGGCCCAAAAAGTAAGCATTGAAGTAGATACTATGCAACTCCAAGAACCTCCTCCCAATCAAGAACCATATTAAAATTTTTTCCCCAGTTTCACTTCAACCAAGTACTCCAGAAAATAGTCGAGAAACCTGCCTCTAAATTTAATAAATAAATAAGCTAAAAAAAACAGTGTTCTCAAAAACACTTCTGGCGTGCTTCTTACAAGATCAATATCCCTCCATCATCCATTAAATATTAACAATAGCCAGACATGATTGTAAATCGTTTCTTCCACCTTTTATTAAGCCTAGAGTCAATTTCTAGCTTAAGTTTTTAGAATTTTCATGCGTGGAAAGTGGAATTTATTTAGTTGCGAAATGAAGGGGGAGAACAATTGAAAGATTGGAAACGAATGAAATGATCATTGTCGAATATACATTTCCATCAAAATTAAACAGCTAGTGGCCAAATATGGACATAGAGGCCACATCCATCCTCTTGGAAGCATAAGAACAAAACATAACTAAATATATATAACCCATACACCTAAAACATTGGTCATAGAAGTCAACTGTCGGGTAGCCTGATATACATGATCATAGAAGCTAACCAACTATACTTAGTTAACTTGAAATTCTGAAAAACATAAATAGAAAAAGAAAAAAAAACTTATGAAACCACAATATAATAGTATATTTCATAAAACAAAACCTGAATAACCAAACTGCCGAACTGATCAACTTGCAGGATCCTGACATCTTTTCTTGCACCCTTTAGCAACCCAAAGACAAGCAGCTTCAGTGATTCCGGGAAGCCTATATGGAATCCACTATCTTCATTAGGCCGAGGTGCCTTGATATTCAACCGCTCTGCTAGCACTTTAGATGATTTTCTGCTATGAAACTCTGAAGACTCTAGACTTACTCCTTTACAGAGATGAAGAAGGCTACGGAGAACATGAGAACCATAGCAGTTACACATCACATCCAGAGGATTGGATACAATTTCCTGAAAAACAATCATGTGCTTAAGGTTACTTGTCTACAAGTATGGGCATATAATCTAATACACACAGGCAATAGGCACATTATTAATTTCCCTAGTCAATGATTATTACCATCAAGAAACTTCATGCCTAAAGCAAGAAAAGTTCAAATGCTTTGTATGCATATAAAAACAAAGTAAAACCTTCACCATCCAAAAGCTAGGAAAAAACAAGTGACCAAAACTTCACACCTTACATATCACAGTTAACGTATCTTCAACCAAAGGATAAACATCTTTGTCTTGTAGGTGCATAGCTAAAGACTTGATAGCTGTTTCAACAACATGTGAGCCAGATCTATCCATGGCAATAGATGGAAACTGCTTGGCACAGCCGTGGAGGAAATTGCAAAGGTCACCAACATTACAGCCTTCAAGAAGACTTTGCATAGTGTGACTTAGGATATAATCAGTGGCAAGTTCGAATTCCTTCCCCTCAGCTTCCGCTAGAGCATTACCACATATAACCGATCGTTCTTCAAAATCAACCGTATCACTTTCAAATAAATTAGAAATCTCTGTGAAGTATTTTGTTGTTTCGGGATCAACCTGCTTCCTATAGGACACTTCCCTCATGAGTATAGTAGAGAATAAGGAGCTTAAAAATGCACGAAATTAAAGAAAATCTCTACTGTGTACTAATTGAATGTCCAATAAAAACAAAACGAGGAACACTACCTAATGAATGAAGTTTGAGGTGTGGAAGTACTTTTCATCTTCGAAAACTTTTTTTCAGCGTTCAGGCTTCCACCATCTATCATCCCAAACGCGTTCTGGCGGGTGTCATTCCGATCAAAGCCACCATGACCTCCTCGTTCAGCCTTCCTACTCATGCCATTTTTCCTTCTCGCGCTTTTATACGTTGATTTATCCTCACCCATTGAGCAGTCTTCAACTGAAATAGAGCTTCTATGTCGCCTAGAAGCTAGAGCTTTCGAACCAACAGAAACCATATCCACCGAGCCACCAAGTTGAAAAGAGCTCCGACTGTACAGCAATTTAAATTGTTAGTGGAGGAGCGGAAATCAATGCATAAAAAGTAGTGATCGAAGATTTCACTGCAATCACAATAAAATAGGACAGCTCCATATTTCGAAATACTGATAAGAGTTTCTATCGATTCTAGCATGTGAAGAAAAGGAACTAAATCTCTAACACGTAATGTAACAAACGCATACTTCATCAAATTGGCAGAGACGGCAAACAAAACAAAATTTGGCCAGCAGCGTGAATTAAATAAATAAATAAATAAATAATCAAATCGATTAGCTCCTGACCAACGCAATGCTAACTAAATAAATAAATCATCCATCATTCATATAAACTGCAGCACACAAATTTCGACTGACTGTCTAGAGAAGGACCAAACAAAGTAGAATTTCCAGCAAAATTAACAAACGTATTAATGGAAAACGGAGAAACTTACATTGAAACAGCTTGTTTTCAGAAACTCAAATCGCGAAGTGGAAGCAAGAAGAAGGTGGCGAGAGAATTGGTGCCGTGAGTCGCCGGAAAATTTTCGCCGTATAACCTCAATTCAGGGTTAACATTTTCTTTTTCCTTTTTCTTGTTCAAAACTAAATTTAATTTAATTTAAAATAAATAAAAATAATCACAAATGGGCTCAGGGTTTTAGAATTTTAGCAGACTTTGTCGTCTACATGGTCCGAATTAGGTTGGGTTAATGGATTTTTGTGATCCAACCCAAAAGTTCGGGTTGGTTGGATTGGTAATCCAACCCAACTCAACCCAAAACTTTTCCCAATCTAGCCCAACACTCTGACAGACCCATTAAAATGATAAAATCTTAATATAATTTATATATTTAAGTTTGGCTCGGTCAATCCGAGGGTTTTGCCCACGAACTCGAAAATCGAACCGATCAGTTCGGGTTCAGAAAAATGAACTCAACCCTACCCGAAATACTAATCCAACTCAACTCAACTCTTATAGTTTGGGTTGGATTGGTCCGAATTGTCGAGTTAAATATACACCCTACCCTACTTTCTGCTGGACCTGTCTGCTTTAAACCCATTCGTTGGTTTTTCACATTAATTCCCATTTTTATTCCAAATAATATAAGTCGCGGGACAATTATGGAATTTTAATATTTTTCTTATTTAAGACGTTTTTGCATTGACTTAAATTATTTATTTTAATTTATGTTAGAAGACTCGTAGGTGATGGAGTGTAAAAATTTTTTAATTTAATTTGTCTAACTATTTAGTACGGGCGTAGAAGAAATTATTTTTGAATTAATGTGAAATTTTTAAATTTTGAGTTGATTGGATTGGTAATCTAAACACTAACCCAATCTAATTCTTTATTTTGGTCGAGTTATTTTTTAATTATTTAAAAAATTATAATACATATTACATTAATAATTTAAATTTCATAACAATTTATAAGTGGGGTTGGATCAATCGGGTTGTAATCTTATTTTCAGGTTAGTCAAGTTGACATCACAACAAAAAATGTCAGCCTACAAACCAACTCAAAAATTTTCAATTTTCAAAAAATTCAACCCAAAATTGAAAAAAAAAATCTAAGAGACTCAGCATCTATGATTTAAGTTGGACATATAAATTACATATTTTTTTAAAATTAATTATCTAATTATTTTAGAATCGACATGATTGTTCTTAATATTTTAATTTAATTTATAATTAGTTTGAAATTAATTTTGAATTGGTCAATTATATTGACAAAAATTCAATTCAAATTTCAAGGGCCAAGGACAATAGTGTAATTTTACCCAATTTTCAACTTTCACCTAAAACACTTTATTATTATAATTATTGTTTTTCCTTCTTTTATTGATTTCATACCATTTTTCAAACCATTCTTAAATTCTAATTTTGAATCAAATTCGTTGTTCCTTCCAAACACGTCTCTTCTCAATATTCCTTCTCTAATTTATTTTAAAACGGAAAAATAAAATTTAATTAATTAATAAAAATACCATTAAATTTTGAAATACTTTTTTTAAATTTTAATGGGCATTTAAAAATACTTAATTTTAAATAGAAATAGTTAATATTTTATTTTAAAAATACCTTTAAATTTTTAGATATATTTAAAAAATGTTCTTGAAGATTCAAAAATATTTGAAGTTTTTTTTTTGTAAAAAGAAAAATTCAAAATTCCCTTACTGTTAATATATATAGACAGAATCATTAATATCATGTTTCAAAAATACCTATGAACTTTTGAAATTAACGCACTGTACCTTTAAGAAAAAGTTTAACAAGTTCAACTTGCCGACGAATGAAATTAATAAGAAAGATGATAGGTGTAAATAGACATTTTTTATCATAAATTGATATAATACATTTATTTATTTATTTTTGTAAAGGTTAAAAATATTAATGTTATTTTAAAGTTGGAGTGTTGTTTTAATATAGTACTAACAATAAATATAGAAACACCGTAAATATATATTTTGAAACACTGTATTTAATCATTTTCATCTAAAATTATTGTACAATTTTTTTTTAAAGAAGGATATTATTGAAAATGTAATTTTAAAAAATTAATGAAAATGTAACAAATAACATTACAATTTATTTATTTTGTTAATAATTTAGCCTTTATTTATTTATTTTTTATTATCCTATCACCTCTAAAATATAACAAGTCATCCTTTCACTTTCTCCACATCATCATTACAATAAATTTTAGGTTCAAATGCAAATTTGACAAAAATAAAATAAAAATAAAAATAAAATAAAAGAGGTGTTTGCAAATAATACGTTTTTATGTCTATAAATAATTATAAAAAAAAACACTATTATTCTTTTCCATTATTGCATTAAGCTTTACCCTAAATTAAAAAAAAATATTTTTATAGTAAATAAAATTCTCCAATTTTATATTATATGCTTAAGATTATTCAAATAATTTATAATCGATATCTTTTTTTTTTCTACTATTTTGGGTTTTTTTAAATATTTAAATCTATTTTTTAATTTTTTTAATAAAATTATTAGGATCTAATTATAAAAAATTATAATAGAAATCAAATTAATTTTAGGGGTTAAAAAAATAAAATAAAAAATAAAAAGTGGAGAAACCGACATTGGAAAACAGGTGGCTATAATGGTATGTTTTTTTTTTGAAGTTGGCAGATATTTAATTATAAAATTTGAGGTGACGTGTTCATTTATTGGACAACGGCTACGTGTTTAAATTTTGCACGAACAAAACGAGAATTTAGCTTGGAATTTTCCCACTGCCATGTGCTTGTTGCCCAAGCCATGGACCTAAAATAAAATGCTTTTCGTCAAATGTCCATTTTGCCCCTGTTTTTTATTTTATTTTTCAAACTTGTTTTTATATTATTTTCCGCTAAATGTCCATTTTGCCCATGTTTTTTATTTTATTTTTCAAGCTTGTTTTTTTTAATTTGTAAACTTACTTTCATTTTTGAATATTGAAAAGCAATATAAATAAAATTAAAATATTATTTTAGTCATATATTTTACAATTTCAAGTTTTTTTTTATTTTTTATTTTCATTGAAATTAGGTAAATAATAACAATAACTTTAAGGTAAAAATATACGGGATATATTTTAAAATTTTATTTAATAATTAAAAAGTAATATTTTGTTTAAAAAAAAATTAACAATATTGCTCAGCTTGTCATAGTATTTACCTCTAAATTTTAATAAATTTTATTTTAAAAATAGATAAAATAAATATTATCATGTGCACTAAATAATTATAAATTTAAAAAGCTAAATCTTTATAATCATTAATTTTAAACCTTATTTAGTACTTCAAATTTAATCATTAAATTTTAAGAAAAATTCATACAATATAGTTCAACGAAGAAGTGAAGAAAATATAGTTAAAATTATAAAAAGGTATTTCAATTTATGCCACGTTGAAGAAGAATGAAGTTTCATGTCATAAATTTTGAGTGGATCACAATTTAGAGTTATTGTATTTTATTAATATATTTTTAAGACTTTTTATTTACCTTATATTACAGTTGCAATTATGACCATGAAATATGAATGTTACAATTCTTGAAATGTCTTTAATAGTTTCATTTTGAGACGACTTAAAACCATGTATATTGTATTTGTAAGCAGACTTAAATGGAGTAAAAAAAGCATTTATGCTTTCTTTAGCCAATAACTAAGTTTCTTTGCAATTGTTTAGGTTGCATGTAGAATCATTGAAGCTCGACATGATCAATCTTGTATGTGGAGTGATTCGAATCTCAAACAAGTGTTGTTGCCTTGAGATATTTGATCAACTAGAATCATTCAAGCTAGACATGATCGATTTTGTTTCTGGAGTGATTCGAATCTCAAACAAGTGTTGTTGCCTTGAGATATTCGATCAACAAGGTAATCCGAATCTTACTCCCTTGTAGTGATTTCCACCTATCCACTTTGAAATTGAGCAATATTTTATTTATGGGGATAATTACGAGCTTTGAAAATTTTGAAGAAATTTAAGTTTTAATTTTTAAAATTTTTCTTTATAATTGGTTAAAATTCTCATAATATTATATTAAAAATTAAAGCACTTTGAAAAATAGTATTTTAATTTAATTAAAAATTAAATGTATTTGTGGAAGAAATTAACGGATTTTCTAAAAATAGGAAGGAAAAAAAAACACCTTCGGAGCTCAATTGGAGAAAAAGGAAATTGAGAATTGAGATTGTAAATCAGTGAGATGCTTTGGCATGGCATGGAACAAGCTGGAATGGATTTCCATGGCGGAATGAATGGAGGAGGGATGAGAAGAACAGGGGCGCCGCTGTTCGGTATGGGAATTCGATGCAAAATGCATATCAATGTCGCAATCCATGTGCGGCTTCGTGACCAGACGAATTGGTCGGCTTTGACAGCGACATACGCAGGTGCGTGTACCATCGACGAACCTTCCTTTTCACCCCCCCAATAAATCTTGACGCGGAAGTTCGAGGCCTGCGATTCTCAACCATTTCTTTTGAACTATCCCATCACATACAGTAGTGGCACCTGCTTCTTTCTCTCTCGTTGCTTCTCATTCGCTTCTTCATCCTTTTCTATGGCGTCTCTTTTGGAAAAACCTCTTCCGGTTTCCGTTCAGAACATCAATCCTAAGGTTCACTTTGCGTACTGATTTTGAACTGTTCTTTTACTGTTTGACGATTTGATGCACTGTTTGGACTGGATTTTCTACTTCCAGATAAATCGTGATCGTGTTCTCTGTTATCGTTGTTGTTATCCCTGTTATCGTCGATCATCGCGGATCTGTGATGTTCCTTACTCATCTTGTGTTTGCGCTTTCTGTTATAGCTATGTTTCTCGTTGTTTTCGATGAGAGGGAATCCATTTTGTTACATGGGAGTTTGATGGTCGTTCTGTAGGGTATCCTAAGCATTTTTCTTATGGTTATGTCGCTATCTTAATTCATTTCGTTGATCATTGCCATGGGTTTGCATATGTACTCTTCTCTGACAGAGAAAATGAGTTCAGCATGTGTTGGAAAATGACAACTCCTTGCTGTTTTGAGACAATCTCCCGTACTAGTGTTAATCCCTTGAACAATATTTCCTTG